CTGTTGTATCCGATATTTAGAAATTTCAAATGAGGCATTCCATATAGCGTCTTGGCAGTGAGTTCCGTGATATGGTTGTGTTGAATGCTGAGCCAAGTGAGTTGCGAATGGTGAATGGAAGCAGCCATATTGAATGAACCGTCCTGCAGTTCATTGATACTATTATTGGCCAAATTCAATTCGCGCAGCCGACTCAATCCTAAAAACGTATCTTTAGGAATCTTTTCTAATCGGTTTACAGAAAGATCCAGCTTCATCAGCGAAGCCATTAAAGTGAAAGTGTCGACTGGAATCGTTTTCAGTCGGTTATTTGACAGATTAAGTTTTTCAATTTTTGCTAGTTTATAAAACGGTTTTGATTCAAGAGACGTAAGCAGGTTGTCAGCAAGGTCAAGAGATCGAAGTTGTTGCTGGTGCTCAAAACAGTGGTATGGTAGAGTCGAGATTTTGTTACTGCTTAAGTCAATTTTATGGATGTACGCCAAGTTTTGAAAAAATTCCTTGTCGACATTGGCGACCAGATTATGAGACAAGTCAAGTTCCGATAGGAAGTTCGATTTGCGGATCAGATTGTTAGGAATGCGTAAAAGGCGGTTTTGTCTAATCGACAACACTTTGAGATTTTTTAAATTACGAAACCATTCCGGGCGCAACACACGAAAGTGGTTTTCATCCAGAAGAAGGGTGTGTAGCAGAAGGTTCTTTTCAAAGATATTAGCCGGCATATCCGTAAGAATATTCCTTGAGAGATCCAAGACTTCGAGAAAAGGCAATGGCTCGAAAAGACCTTCGTAGAGTCTATTCAGCCGGTTTGTATCCAGATAAACTCTTTTCAGTTTTGTATTTTGTCGAAAGAAGTTCTCGTGTAGGTGTGCCAGTCTATTGTCAGAGAAGCGAATCTCTTGTAGTTTGTGAAGACCATGCAGCGCCGCGGTTGATAGGTATTCGATGTTGTTTTTCCGCATATTCAGGCTGCTCAACTCACGCAGATCTTGAAAAACGTGGGGGCTTATATACTGGAGGCGATTACCAACAAGGGCGACCTCCTGTAGTTGTGGTGATTTTTTGAATGCGATTTTATCTATGTCCGTCAAATAGGGTGGATTGTCTTCCTTAGTCCCAACGAATTGTTGGTATGTATACTGTTGGCCTCGGGACAATGCTGCCATCGCTGGTGGATGTTGATACGCTGTATCGTATGGTTGTCGCTTAGATTCACCGTACACAGAAAGACGAATAGCATCTGGAAATATATAAATAAATGTATTAACTTATTTGCATTCCGTTATCAGAAAAGGGATGATATGAAAAAAAAAAAAAAGCATGTAAACTTAAACGGGTCCCGTGATCCATAAAGGAAATTTGAAGAACACGTGTTCTGCAGCCGTATCAGCAGGTGGGTCTGTCTAAGGCAAAATAGCCGATCCCTCTTAAGGTTGATTTTGAATTCAGAGTTGTCTCTCACTAGAGTGCTTGCCAAGGTTAAATATTTCAGTCTGCCCTGCTAGTTAACCCATAGGTCATTAATGCCAAATGAACGAAACAGACTCGGTCAGAATTTAAACTCTGGACGCCGAGTTCACTTTTGCGCTGTTAACCGTTACACTACCAATACGTACATCAATAACTAATATATATATATATATATATATATATATATATATATATATATATAGGCAACATATCGTTCAAACATTTTTCATTGAATACTATAGACAAATTATGCCTATTTACTTTTATAATAATCCTTTCTAATTCTCTAACGAGTTTCTTGATGTTAAGATAAAATTCATCAAGGAAGTTACCGTAGTTTTTTCTTATACAAGTACTTTCGATCTCCTCCGAGATCATCCTCAGGGGTGGATTACAAAGACAAACTTATTGTAACGGTGATCGTTGTGATGGTGATTAAAAAAATGCGTGAAGACGCTCTGTTATAATAATTTTAAAATATAAATTTATTCGTTGTAACTATGAAATTTTTTCAAATTGTCCCAATCTAAGGGAGCTAACCAGAAATATATGATTAAAATTGGTAGAAATGCAAATGGCATTCAGTACACTTCAGTACGTGGTTTCTATACTTGTAATAAATTTGATAAATTATTATCAAAATAAATAGATATATATATATATATATATATATATATATATATATATATATATATATATATATATAGGTGAACAGTAAACGTTTGCGTCCAGCATGAAACAACCTGTCACCTCTGAGTATTGACTTCAATGTTCACTTTTATATTTATATTTACATACGCTCTGTCTCTGATATTGGGCACTTTATCACATAAATATAGCACACCTTAAAACTATATATATATATATATATATATATATATATATATATATATATATATATATATATATATATATATATATATAGAGAGAGAGAGAGAGAGAGAGAGTTAAAAAGTTGTATGTCTCAATTATCACTCTGCCAACTAAGTCTCGTTTGGTTGGCAATTGTATTTAATGATATTTATTCTTGCTGTTTAGTGAAGAAACAAACTTAATTATTGAATAAGTATCCATTTTATGACAGTCTAGCATATCCATCGAAGTCCTATATTTTGTACTTTAACTCGTGAATATCCAATGTCGAGAAAAGAAAATTTACCTGTACGTGAAATGCATTCCAACTTAAGGATGCGTGGTTATCGGCACGGAATAGTGGGATGAGCGTGTTCTCTACAGCATCAGCACTATCAGCATCACAATTATGGGTTAAATAGTAGGGTAGACTCTAGCCTTGTGTGGCAATCAAAGAGAAGGTAGAGTCTGAATTACAAACCATAGAGAAGGCAACGGGAAACACTTCTACTATATTTCCCAAGAATGTCTCGCAGTTCATAGATATTAAAGAAAATGTGGAGAGCTGTGACTGCATATGTCCTGAAGAATTATAACATTTAAAGAAGAAATATTAATGCTCCCTTTTATTTCGCAGAAAATCATTCACACTTGGGATTGCTTGAATTTGTTCACATTACATGAGGACGAAAACATAAATAAACCAAAGAAATTTAAATCTCATTTTTTTTCTCTAAAAAAGCTTAAAAAGGATTCTAGACTAGTCTGTTACATTTACTTTCATCCTAATGGCTTGGGGGGGGGCAATCAGCCTAAGAGAAGGAAAAGTCTGAATTCCAAACTGTGGAGAAGGCAATGATAAAACAATTCACAATATTTCTTAAGAATACATAGTAATTCACTAATAATAAAAAGGGGAATCTGTGGAGAGTCATGAACTACGTCTAAAAATTACATAGCATTTAAATGAAACCTAACTCCATTGATTTGTCTCACTGAGATAAAGTAAATACGTTGGTCGTAATACACAATCGCGTATTTTGCGTACAAGAATAACTTTACGCTATTTACATTATATACAACCACCTGAAGAATGCCGGGCGACAAAGATGAGGACAATAGTCCGAATAATGTAAATAGTGTACATAATACCTCATCTCAAAAATATAGACAAATAACTTTACGATTTACGTTTTTATGTATGTATCATACAATCTTTTATTCGAACTAAATATTACGGCCGTTGTATCAACCGTCGTTAAGTACCTTTTATGTTTTGTAACCTGGAAATTTAGTACCTGCACACATGGAGTAGACTGTTCTCATTCTGCTGTTTATACCTGGGGGATATAACTGGTATTAATTTTTGTTCATTCGTCCGTGTGGTACGGTTTCTGTTCTTATTCCATTAGAGTATATATGGATTTTATTGCCTGCTCAAGGGATTGAATTCACGGTCATCATGTAACTGCATACATTTAATGAATCCAGGACAGTTAAATGTAATTTTAGAAACATGGACATGAGTAGAGGCTTACGCCTTGTTTCTTGTTTAGGAAGGGGTTCCCGGTACTCTCTCTATCTCTTTGGCCTCTGTATCTCCAGTTTCCTTCATCTATCCACTACCCTTCTCCTCATCCTTTCTTCTATCACTCCTATCTGATCTTGCTCCAAATTTTCTGTAACCCCTTGCGTCCTAGTGGCTTTCCGCCTTGCTTGGGGTGAAACGCTTAAAAAAAAAAAAAAAAAAAAAAAAAAGAAGCTTATTTTCCGTTCTTTCTTAATCAAAGACTAGTGGTTAATTCTATGCTCAGCCTACTGAGCAGGTTATTAGAATGGCCCAAAACCACTACAGAATCAAATGTCCTGATTTCAAAAAGCACGTTGAATCTCATTTAACCACACTAAACTAATGCCCGCCGAAATAGAACATATACCAAAATAGTCCAATCATTAAAATGTCTGTTTCCAAAGATAAGCAATAATGAACCTGCAGATGAGGAAAAGAAGAAAGCTATTTAAAAAAAAAAAAAGGAATAATAAAGCATCACTTGATATTGTGGCTGAATTTTTTAAAATAGTTTACTTTCTCCCTAAATACAATAATAGTGTTCTCTATCTTATGAAAGAAGTCTGGAATCAGAAATGCATCCCCTAAAAGTGGAGTTTATCACGTATTAATGCACCACGGAAACAAAAAGGTATCCCTCAAGACATTCACATGTACAGAGTTATCACAATTAAATCGATTATGATGAAAGTATTAATGAACATTATATTAACTAGAGTCTCATCGTTTTGTAAAAGTCAACTTTTCATGTCCTGATTTGGCTTTCGTTCTAGTAAGGGATATAATGATGACATATAGTGATTTTCCAAGCGTAGCTTGGATGTGACACAAAGCCGAAATAAGGGGCACCGAATGAGAATCGAACTCACTACTTAGTCGTAATTATTCTAGTGAGGCAAACTTACTAACCATTACACCACCTCGAGGTGCCCTAATGATGACATATATATGCCATCAAACAACTCCAGGAAATTACATACCTCTCTAATAGGAAATTATATGCCTACTATATGTCGACCTCACAGCAGTATATGACCACATCAATAGAGACTTCCTCTTCTCATCCATTAGAAATCGCATTCCAAGTTCCGAATCCACTGAAAGGATTGACCTAATAGAGGAACTTTATCAGACCACAAAATCTTACATGTCTGGTGATGGTCCCGATACGGAAATATTTCAGTCTATTTAATCTTTTTCTAGGCTATGCCTTTTGCATTTACAAGCATAGGT